GGTCGATGGCATTTGCACTGCAGAGGGAGGCGCGCAGGCCTCCCGCCGCCCGGGCCGTCGATGGCTCCTTCATTCCGGCGTGGTCCTCCAGGACAGCGGTGCTCGGATGTATTAAAAGAAATAGATATAGTGATCCGCGGGCCGTGTGGATGCGGGGCCTTTGAAATCCAGGAGGCTGCCGCAGGCTTTCCCCCAGGCCTCAGCCTGCCCGGGTTCACCTTTCTCCTATCGACCGCTGCGGGTGGTGCTCGCTAAAAAGTGAGATGCTAACGAATGCAGCAGCCAACGCCAGCCCCACCGCTGCCTGCGAGTGGCACTCGCAATTGCACCGATACCTCAAGGGGACAAGATGGGTTCGTGGTAGCAGCGTCCGCTGCAGAGAAAAGTCTGGAGACTTTCCAAACCGCAGAGGGATAAGTCCCCAAAGCACCTTGCGGCATCCCCTGCGCCCCAGGGCTCAGCCTGCCCCTGCCCCGTCGTGCCCATGTAGCCTCAGCGGTGCCAGAGCTGCCACGGGCTGGAGGGCGGTCCCCGTCCTTCTTGGGCTGCAAGCACAGTGTTGGGTGTTTTCCTGTCATGCACAAGGGAACCCTGGTCAGGGTCCCAGAATGGGCTCTCAAGGCTCACACCATCTGCTAATCGTGAGTACTTGGTTAGTGTGGCTGGCAATGTAGACTTCATGGCTTTGGGGACCCTCCCAGTGCCCCTTGCTGAGAGCAAAACCCACTGTGCCCTGAATAAGCTTCAGCCATCTAGATGTGTTCCTGCAGGGGGTTGTACAGGGCTTCCACGCAATAGGAGGGAGCTGTGGGGTGGCCCAGGGCCCCAGCAACCCCTATGGCCTCCCCAAATCTCCCTGGAGGATCTGTGCAGTGCACTCGGGCAGGAGGAGCAAGCTGAGGCCCTGTGTGCTCTGCCTTTTTTCCCAGGGATCAATAGTTGGGCTGCGGAAGAGGCATCTTCAGAGGGGAAGAGCTGCGCTTTGTTCCACAAAGGTGACAATTAGAAACAGCTTCATCAGTAGAAGCGGCCGGGGGCTGCAGCAGGGGCTGGGGGCTGTGCACACAGTGCTGCTCTGTGTTTAGAAGGTACTGGGTCTACCATGGCTTTGTGTCCAGCATGATGGGCAGTGCCCACGAATACACAAATCCCCGTGGGTGGGTCACAGATAGCCCACCCCTGCCCAAGGTGAGAAATTCGGGTTTGGAGGGGTTGGAGGAGATCCACCCTTTAAGGTCCCACCCTGCCTGTGAGCCTCAGAACGGGGCTAAACCCACAGTGCTGGCTGCCCCCAGCCCAGCACAGTGGAGGGTGAATCTGCCCCCACGCTCTTTGGGGCTGAGGGGAGGCTTCTGACCCCACAGCCGTCCCTGGAGCCTGCAGTGGCACACACTGATGCCACGGCCGCCTTGCCCCGAGCCCAGCGCTGCGGCCGAATCCAGTGCTCCTCTCGCTAGGCTGGATCGTCCCTGCATCCTCCATCTCCTCCCTCCCACTCAATTACAGTCCCTGCGGGACGCGGGAAGCAGGCATCGATCAGGGCTGGTTACTCAGGTGACAGCAGCTGTGTCCCCGAGCCCCCCCCGGGAGCGTGGCAACACACGTCACCCCCTGAGCTGTGTAAGGAGTGGGGACACGGGCCCGCGTGTGCCCTCCCGGCTCCCCGGGGCCCTGGCGCTCGATGAGCTGTGGCCGGTGCTGCCCGGCAGTGACAGGGGACATGAGACCCCAATTAAGGCTGCATCGATCCCACTCTGGCTCTGCTCGGTGGGCTGTGCCGTGCCGTGCTATGGCTGCAGTTCTGTGCCAGGGCTTAGCTGCCCCACGCCCGTACAGCCCTGGCACCCCTACCCCAGAGCAAACACCCTGGAACCATCTTGCGGCTGGGGCACACATGGGACACGCACACACACACACACACACAGGGAAAGCCCACTGTGGCCTCGTGCACGCACACATCCACACACGCACACACCCCACTCCCACGTTCACACCCCCCTCATCCTCGTACCTGCCTACAGGGCCCCTCTGGCCAACCTGGCCTGGGGTAGCCCTAAGGTCCTCTGCACAGCTCCTGCGTCCCCCCCCCCCTGTCCCCACTGTGTCCCCAACACATCATGTCCCCGTGTCCCCAACATGTCCCTCCCATGTTCCCACTGTGTCCTCAACATGTCCCCCCCCCGTGTCCCCAACATGTCCCCCACCGTGTTCCCTTCGTGTCCCCAACATATCCCTCCCTGCGTCCCCAACATGTCCCCTCACATGTTCCTGCTGTGTCCACGTCCCCCTGTGTCCCCAAAATGTCCCCCACTGTGTTCTCTTCGTGTCCCCATGTCCCCCACCGTGTTCCCTTCGTGTCCCCAACATGTCCCCCACCG